GGAAGACCACAAATTTGAGGAATGTAACCGAAAAGAAAGACCGATATGTATAAATTGTGGTGGGAACCATTCAGCAGCCTTTGACGGCTGTCTTGAAGCTAAGAAAGCCAAAAAGATACAAATAGTAAAAGTCAAAAACAATCTTTCATACGCACAAGCTGCAAAAATACAGTCGGAGCAAGAAAAAGCACAGCAGAAACCACAAGCCAACCTCCCTGAATCACATCCCTCCCTCGATGTCAACTCAGATAACCTCCCTCTTCCTCCCCGACCAGTGAGGTCATCCACAGCAATCCGCCCTGAAAACGCCACCCCGCAACTTGATCCCCAGCCCTGGAACACCCCGCTGCAAAAAAACGCACAGAGCAGTAAATTAATAGATAAGGATGGAAAAACTGAAGTAAAACTAGAAGCCCTCCCTCGAGGTAACCTAGTAACATTAATGAGTGATGAGCAAATAATCTCTTTCATTACGCAACTTGTTCTCACTTTTACGGATGGAAAATCCGAGAAGGAGATTTCATCCTTAGTGAAAGTGGCAGCTGAGAGACTGCTCAAACAAAGAGTAAAACATGACGCTAAAGATGTACTGGTATAGCATAGTAATGATGATGACAGCGCTAACCATATTACAATGGAACGCGCAGGGACTTCTTAATCACGGTCCTGAACTTATAAAATACTTAGATTCATATAAAGATGTAAAGTACCATTTAATTTGTGTTCAGGAAACATGGTTCAATGATGATAGAATATTGCAAATCCCTGAATATACATGTTTTATTAGAAACAGGGAAAATCAATCTAAAGGAGGGTGTGCCATTTATGTACATGATTCCATCAACTATGAATATCCTGTCAATGACGAAGAATTCGAAATACAACATATTAAAGTTCATGTTGCTGGATCAAAAATCTCCATAATCAATTTCTATAACCCTTGCAAAAAATTAAACGAGATTGTTTTGAACAGGATGATTAACAAACTAGAATACAATCTATTCCTTATAGTTGGGGATTTCAACTCACATAATCCTGTGTGGGGTAGTGCAAAGATAGACCAAAATGGGCACACAATTGAAAATTTCACACATGACAATAACTTTATAATTTTAAACGACGGAAGAGGAACCAGAATAGATCCACACACTGGGAAAATGTCATGTTTGGATCTTAGCATCACCTCCCCCAAACTATCTTGCCTATGCTCGTGGGAAGTTTTGCGGCACACCCTTGGTAGTGACCATTTTCCCATCTCCACCCAGATATTATTGGACCGAGCAGGGAAAGTAAACAGCAACAGCGAGAAGATAAATGAGGAAACAACTTGGTCTTTTAAAAATTTTGATTGGAACACTTTTGCCGAAAAATGTGAACATAAAATTGAACATAGTGGCAACTATTCCGACCCTACGAAAATGTATAAATGTTTTATGAAAAGTTTGTCAGAGACTATTAAAGAAATAATGCCCCAGAGGGGAAAGAAAAAACATGACCCTGTACCTTGGTGGACAAAAGACTGTACACAAAGTATCAAAGAAAGAAACAGGGCTAATAATAGATTAAAAAGACACATTTCAATAGAAAATCTAAATACATATTTGAAGAAAAAATCAGAGGTACAAAAAACTCTACGCCAAGCAGAACGAAATTACTGGCAAGAATTTTGCTCAAGACTCAACCGCTTTGTACCAGAATCAGCGGTATGGTCTACCATTAAACGGTTAAAGGGGGTATCTGTCAAAAAAACAAAAAACATGTCAGTCCTGATAGAAAATGAAAAAGAAATCACATGTAACAGTGAAAAGACTGAGGCTTTCTCTAAGTTCTTCCAATCAATTAGTAATGTTAAAGAATGTCCAGAAATAAAAGAAAACAAAAATGTTGAGCAACAAGTCACGAAATCACTGAAGCGGGGAATGGAGCATATCTTGAATGAACCATTCACTCTTTTTGAATTGCAAAAAACTCTAAACACATGTAAACAATCAGCTCCTGGAAAAGACAAGATCCCTTATCAGGTTTACCAAAAACTTCCTCAGAAAGCAAAACAATATATGCTAAAGGTCATGAACTTGATATGGGATACGGGTAGCATACCTCCCAGTCTGAAACACTCTATCCTAATACCTGTGTTAAAACAGAATAAAGACCCCCGAAAGGTATCGTCGTACCGACCCATAGCACTTTCCTCATGTTTTGCCAAGATACTAGAACGGATTGTGAAGAATAGACTCCAATGGTATGTAGAAAAGAACAATATACTTCCTCCCCTCATGACTGGCTTTCGTAGTAAACGTGGGGTCACGGATAACATTGTACTTTTAGAGAATGCCATCCAAAGAAGCATTAATGTTGGTGAATATACTTTAGCAATCTTTCTCGATATTGAAAAGGCATATGACAGACTTTGTATCAAAGGCCTTATTTACAAACTATCAGTACATGGTATTACAGGTAATATGCTCGAGTTTCTCTATAACTATCTGAAAGAGCGGACTTTCCAAGTAAAGATTGGTAAAGAAGAATCAAAATTATATGAAATGTACAACAGCCTCCCCCAGGGGAGTGTCTTAAGTCCTATATTGTATAATATCATGATGAGTGATATTCCAACAGATGAATTAATCACCACATCTATTTATGCTGATGACTGTGTCATCTGGATGTCAGGTAATAACATAGAAATTATTTCAAACAGAATACAGTGCTATCTGAACACATTGAGTGAATGGTTTACTAAATGGGGCTTTCGCCTTTCACAGAGTAAATCCTTTCCAGTGTTATTTACTAAAAACAATAAAGCAAAATACCCAGAACTGAAATTAAACAACGACGCACTTTTATTCCAATCAAAGAAGCATTTCCTAGGACTTATATTTGACAAAAGACTTTCATGGAAGACGCACATAGATGCCGTAGTCCTTAGATGTAAAAAGAAACTGAACATTCTTAGGTGCCTTACTGGGACTACATGGGGAAGCTCCTCGAAATCCCTGCTAATGGTATATAGAGCATTGATAAGATCGTTATTAGATTTTGGTTGTGAAGCCTATGACAGTGCGGCTCAAAGTATAAAGAAATCACTTGACTCCATTCAATATCAAGCCTTGAGAATTTGTGCGGGAGCTCTTCCTCTTACATCATTAGATTCACTACAAGTTGAACTAGGTGAAATGCCCTTAGACTTAAGAAGACAGATGCTGGCGGACAGATTCAGACAAAAGATTGAAATGCATCGAGATCACCCTGTCATATTAAACGTTAAGCCCAGCTGGCAAATGGAACTTTTGAAGCTCCAAAAGAATAACAAGCCATTTGGATGCAGAACAGAACTAATGAAACATTGTACTATCGAACCTTACACTATACCTAGTTTCCCCCCTTGGAAAATTAATGCTCCAAAAGTGTCGATAGAATTAAGCGAAATAGTGAACAAACATGAAAACCCATCTTATTTACGTCAACGCAGTTTAGAATTGATCAGTACCAAATGGCCAATACAACTACACATCTATACAGATGGGTCAAAGGTTCCAAGTTTTGGAATAAGTTCTGCTTCTTTTTATGTACCAGCATTCTCCTTTCAACAAGCCAAACGATTGGCGGATCACACCTCATCTTTCAGAGCCGAATTGGCTGCAATTGTCCTTGCGCTTAATTGGCTAGAGAACATTAATGTGTATGTTGGCATTGTTATTTTTTGTGATTCCGTAAGCGCCCTGCTCGCCATAAAGGATGAAAAAGATATTACATTTGTAACTGAAATTATTACATTAAGTACAAAATTATCGTATCAAGGAAAACACATACACTTAGAATGGATTCCTAGCCATTGTGGTGTACACGGAAATGAAATGGCAGATTTTTATGCAAAATCTGCTTTACAAAATAACATTGAAATTTGTAATAAATTATCCTTTTCTGAAATAAAGAGTATTATTACCAGCAAGTATATAAAACTCTGGCAAGACAGATGGAATAATTCTGATAGATCTCTTAGACATATACTGCCTACAGTAAATCAACCATAATTATGAATGTAAGTTGAACAGATTTGAAGAAAGTATTCTCCATAGATTAAGAATAGGAGTGATAGGTTTGAACTTAGATCTCTTCAGATTGAATATACACTCGACAGGCCATTGCAATAATTGCATAGGACGTACTGAAACTGTAAACCACTTTCTCACTGAATGCCCAAAGTACATAATAGAAAGAGCTATGTTACTCGTAGAAACTGATTTATCACATCCACAGGAAATCATGACACTACTTAAACTTTCAGAAATAGTTAAACAAAAAGCAATAGTTCGCTTCGTTTTAAGAACAAAGCGGCTGTATCCAAACAATTAAATTGTTGTTGATTTTTTTTTTTTTTTTTTTTTTTTTTTTTTTTTTTTTTTTTTTTTTTCTTCTTATCTTCTCTTTTCCTTTTTCTTGCACCAATAAAGCCCACAATACTTGTAACTAATTTGACCATTTACTTTTCTAACAATTCGGTGATCACCTCCAACATCACATGCTAGCTGGCACCCCCTCACCTATGCCGGAGTGACCTAGGTTAAAACCGAAAGTCTGCGAAATATACCTCAAAGACTGGTAAGATGGCATTTTGAAAAGGGTGGGGGTAAGTGCGAAGTACACATGTGCATACGTGAGGTGATATTTGAACGCGCACGTGCGCGTAAACACAAGTACGTACGTTTAGTTTTAGTTTATAGGCGTTTTTTATTCACAACTTGCTAGGCCGTCGTCTCTTTCCAAAATTATTAATTTATTGAATTTTCTCTCTAAAAAAAGTTATAGAGTCTAAAAAGAAAAAAAGAGGAAGGAAAGAGGATGGAAGGAGAAAGAATCCTAAAAATAGTCATTTATGACATGAAATTGTACATATATGTATATATATAAATAATTCATAAAATAGTGTGTGGCAAAAATAGTCAACTGTGACTGATTGCCAAACAAAAACAAATCAAGAAGAAGAAGAAGAAGACAGACGCCGCGCCACGTTTGTCAATGTACGATCGCTTAAAACAAGTAAACACGGACAGTCTCATCGTTTTAAAATGTCCTTCAAGATAGATATTCACAATCATATATTGCCAGAGAGGTGGCCTGATCTGAAAGAGGTATGTAGCCTAAAAACGCGTTTTGCATCAAATTAGAACGAAAATAATCCACCTTTCTTTAGATCCACCAGTCTAGATACTGTTTACGTACGGTTAGACATAGAAATTTGCACTGTCGACAAGCGCTAGCGCTAGGCGCCTGCCGCGCCGCCTACTAAATATGCATTTCTAGTGTACTTAGGCCTAGGCCTAGGCCGGGCCTAGATCACTCCAGCAAAGCATAGAGAGTCATAGACCGAAAGCTTCAGTCTCTATATCGTTGGTTGTTCCACTGAGACTACGTCTGGCTCCACTAGACCTTCGGATATAGAGACTGAACGATCGCCTAGACCCTAGACCCTATGCCATCGTATGTTGAAGATATCACGGCTAGATTTTAGCCGTTAGTTAGGCCCCTCCCACAAACATGACAAACTTCACGAGAAATACATCATTTATCTTCAATTGCAGTATTTTTCTAGGCAATTGTCAGTCCCTAAAAGTTCCCTTTTTACCCCCCTTCCCCACGAAAAAGAAATATAAAAGAAATAAAAGGACTTACCGAGCTTTTAGTTTTGGCTGCTTCTCGATGACCCACGTCAAGCATTGACCGACAGAAATCAAAATGGTGGCTAATGAATATTCAATGGCCTCGGCTAGCTCCTCCGTGCGTCATGTCGAGGATAGCGCGCGCACGTGAAGCAGACAACACGAGAACTCAAACGTGAGTAGCAGCAGCGTTATGTACATGTACGCGCACGTCTATGAATGAGGTCAATGGGGTGGAGACTAAAAAACTTTGTCATGAATATTCATTACTTTGATTCAAGATGGCTGACGTCTGAAGACAGTCAAGTGGAAGAGATAATAACACTTTTTTGAAGAAGATTTCATATATGCAGAGGTCCAAGGTACATATTTTCTTAATGTTTATCATGTGTGGTTTAATTCTAAATGTCAATTTTATATGTTGGTGCATGCGATTATAACAAAAAAAGGATTTAACTTAGCGTCAGGGCAGTATCGTCTTATCGTATACCCGTAGAGTGTATCTTCAACGTACGATGGCATAGGCGATCGTTCAGTCTCTATATCCGGAGGTCTAGTGCAGCCAGACGTAGTCTCGGTGGAACAACCGACGATATAGAGACTGAAGCTTTCGATCTAAGAGAGTCATAGACCGAAAGCTTCAGTCCCTATATCGTCGGTTGTTCCACTGAGACTACGTCTGGCTCCACTAGACCTCCGGCTCCACGACGTGCAAGCCGCCGTGCTCGCTGGGCTGTGTGCTGCATGTTGTGGGTGGAAACACAAGCTGCATTACTACCCTGGCCGTGTATTAAAAGTTGTGCTATTGATTCTCAACATTTCAAACACCACTGTACAAAACTCGACTGATTGATGACACCTAAAGAGCATTAAAATACAATTTGTTCAACTTTCCCATGTTAGAAAGAATAATTAAAAAATTAAAATTGTGAGTCTACTGTCAAACTTGCCGATCAACCGCATTGGAATAATTATGTGCATTTGTATGTTGTGAGTGTATTGACTATTCATGTATTCAACTGCTGCCTATTTACACGTACTGCAGTGCTAGTAGTCAATACGCATTAGTATCAACTATCTATGCTTTGCTGGAGTGGCCTACGGCATTCACGATGAAACCATTTAACCGTACATTCTGGTTCACTGCAACGAATAAGATTTTCCGTTGATGGAATTTCACACGTGCATAACTTGTATTGGTCTCTAACTTCCCATACACCAGGCTCAAGAATCAAATCTTTCTCAAAATCAGTCAGAAAGTCTAAATCGTCGCCTAGCAAATACTCATCCCTACTGTACGCCGCCATTTTTGTGATAGCAGCCGATGTGTATTTCCAACATTGCATTTCACGAGCCCTATGTCACTCAGTTTCGGGAGTGAGATTTACGAGCTGTGCGGTCCGGGAGGGGGATTAAGGGGATTATGATTGGGGGAGAAAAGACTCGCGGTGCAACAGAGATTTTCAAAGGGGCCTCTTAGATGGGGAATCCATTTAACTCACATACCCTGGTTTGTATATGTCTACTTGTATAGTTGTATAATTATCGAACACCATCAAGAACTGATCAATGAAATAAGAGCTTGAATATCAAGAAATATTTGTTTTTAAATTGTTTTAAGTTTCCAATTTTTTGCTGCTCATAGACTAACATAAAATCGACTTAAGATGGCGTTTCAAATAGATATGACAACTTAGGAGTCACAACAAGTCTCTTGTCTGGGAAGTTGTTATTCTTGTTGGAAAAGATAGATTCATGAAACACTTGGCGACAAACCAGCGTCTGTGTTGAGATGTCATTGATTTTGTACTTATGACGCTTTCATGGAACAATTTCATTTGCAAATGCACACTTGTAGAAATACCTACTTGATAATGATAGGAACAGGAATGTGATTATTATTCATTTGTTGTTGTTGTTCGGGGGGGGGGGGGGTGGTATCGTTTGAAAGTTTTAATGATACAGTGTACATTGTAAGTTAAATAATTGTATTTATAGTTATGGCACATGTACAGTTTTGGTATGTTCTGTACTACATGTACAGTATGTCATAATCTGACTCAATGGCCCAAATTCACAAAGGAGGTTTAATTCAAGCCATGGTTTAAACCCTTATTTACATAACCCATGGTTTAAAAATTAGCGCAAAATAAGCGTACCTTGCCTTGCATGCGTCTAATATTGCACATCTGACTGTGTTGCGCTTATTTTGTGCTAATTTTAGACCTGTGCTCCGTCTTACAAAGAGTTGATATTGATCCAAATCAATATCAAGTCCCTAAATCAATCACAAGTTTGCAGTCTCCCATCTCTTATGTACATGGTTGTGATTGATATCAATCACAAATAAGTTGCGATTGATATCAACTCTTTGTAATACAGAGCCCAGGAGTATGAAGAATTTATTTTATTTTATTTTATTTTAATCGTGAATTCGGACCATAAGCTGTTTCTAAAAAGCATATTCTGAACTAGACCGAATTTTCTGTCTCTTTCGTTCGTGAAGCCTCTTATTTGGGTAGGGTCGGCTCTCTTCTTAGAGACGGAAGCCGACTATACACATTCCCTTGCTAACATCATGGCCATTTATGGCCATATTTTTATGCCCCGAAAATCCCCACAAATGTTATTTTACCTTGTGCATGTTACAATGTATATTGTAAATTAGGCCCAGACTATAATAACTCGGTTCCACTTACCAACTTGACTGAAATAATCTGTTTAATGGTCCCTTTTGAGGAAATTATGGGTCAAAGTCGAAAGCGAGAGTTAAAATACGTCTTGCAAGATTTTTAACATGGATTTCGATTTTGGCCCATAATTTCCTAAAAAGGGACCATTAAACGGATTATTTCAGTCAAGTTGGTAAGTGGAACGGAGTTATTATAGCCTAGGCCTAATTTAAAATATAACATGCACGAGGTAAAATGACATTTGGGGGGATTTTCGGGGCATAAAAATATGGCCATAAATGGCCATGGTGTTAGCAAGGGAATGCGTATAGTCGGCTTCCGTCTCTAAAGAGAGAGCTGACCCTACCCAAATAAGAGGCTTAACGAACGAAAGACATGGCAAATTCGGTCTAATTCTGAACACTTGTCATGATAAGCTAATATTCCTTTATTCTCTTTCCCTTTTATTGATAAGTCATGCTCTCAGGCCAATGTGTCTGATCTTTTTTCTTCTCTATTGACACACAACTTGATACAGGGTGCAAACACATAATTACACAGAATAATAGTACCGGTACTCAGTTTTATTGTGTACATGGAGTGCATACATAGAATTGCAGAATACCGGTATTGTTTCTAATGCATGATCATTGTACTCTGTACTAGTATTTTATGTACAGTTTGTACATGTACAGTGTATGCAGGGCTACATGTATATCAAATAGCACAATAACATAAAGTAGGTGTGACTGGATCTAAGCATTGTGATTGGCTGACTCATCCTGACCTCATTCTCTCTTAGTTCACTCACAGTCTAACTTAGTCTACACTGCAGACCATTTTGTGCTTTAGAGTGTAAATGTTGCAACAATCAGAATACGATGACCAAATTTCTCCAATTGTTTTTGTTTTTTTACTGTATTTGGAAAAGGCCAAATCAAGAAAACAGTGAATAAAAAACAACAGTAGCTTGAATTGAGTCAAATGGATGCCGGGAAAACAAAAAGATTAACTGAATAACTATGACCTGAAGGTCTTCTAAGAATGTTAAATACATGCATGAACTTAAAGGTGTTTTTTGTTCGTTTTGTTAACAGCTTAAACTTCAGATTATCATATTTCAGTCAACATACTGAAATATGATTGTGAAAGTCATGATAATTTTGAACGGGACTTGGTTACTAGGACTGTCCTGCATAGACGTACAACATGTATCAACATCTTGTTCATTTTCTTTGTTCAGAGTTCTGTTACTACTCAATGACCTTCGATGTGTGTTCGCCCAAAATTGGTCCATTGAATTCAATAGAGTATTGGATTGCATTGCATTGAATTTATTTTCTCTAGATGCTGATGTCATTCATTGTATTGTGTTGTGTACAGGTATGTATGTGTATACAGTACATGTAGTAGTATCAATAAACAAACCTACTATATCCTGCAGCTGCCATATCTTCATCATAAATAGATGTACATGTACGTACAGTGTACATGTACAAATATTTGGACAAGAATGATAACATCAGATTTTTTTTTTTTTTTTTTGGGGGGGGGGGGGGGGGGGTCATATCTTTACAGCTAATCGATATTGTAGAATTACTCCTTTGAAATTGTGAATCAGATATATTTGATCATATCTCTGCCCTAGAAATATTGTTGTATACATGTGTACATGTACACAATACTACACATATTTTTGCATCATTTCTATGAAATGCATGCTCATTTATTCCTGTATAAACAACCTAGAGGATATACGTTGTATGTATCATAGCACAAGACAAATGGGAGAGTTGCTCACAAGTGCAATCACTGAGTGCCAATTGTGTTTGATTGCTCACAACTTTTACAAATGTTTAACTTGATTTTGATTTTTTGATTTGATTTATTTTGATTTTGATTTTGAATTGATTTATTTACCAATAGCAATACATTTTCATACATTTTATACAATAATTACAATTACAGGAAGAGAAACTATTGGTTGGTAAAAAGGGGCCAGATAATAGCACATGTGCTAGTCGAGCCTAGCCCCTTAAACAACTAAACAAAGTATTTTGGTACAAATCAGTTTAGAGAATGTAACAAAACAAAAATAATTAATTTACTTTTATAATCGATGCTTTAAAAAAAACAAGAATCAGTACTCAATAATGTCTTACAATATTCAAACTAATAATGTAAAATATGAATTATGAATTGTGTACTTGCTTCTTTATTAAATAGCCTGTCCTCATACTGTCATTAATCCTCTGATTGGTTGTTATCATTGTTGTTGTTGTTAAACCTTGATATCTGTGCTTCTACCCTTTCAAACCTTTCTCAAGGTATTTTTTCTGATTTCTCTATTTTGTGGAAGTACTCTTTTTTTTGGTTGCTTGAGTTCACCATTAAACAGTTAATGAAACTTGATTTTGAATGGAAGAAATAGGGTGGGCAGATGAAGTCAGCATTAAATTGTGTGGTTTGTGCATTTGAAGTACCATTTTTTTGTACAATATGCTTTGTACATACACTGTATACATGTACATGTGTAGAACATTTTTGAGCAGTGGTGTCATGTGAGAGTCCAGTCACTGTCCGAGGGATATTAATAATAATAATAATAATATTCCCCTTATATAGCGCGTTCAAAGTTACAATGTCTTTAAGCGCTTGACAGATATTACAGATGATTCGGAAGGGGGGGGGGGGGAGGGGGGAGGCTTTCTGGGGAGCAGCCTCACTCAACAATAGTATACACAATGCATGTTTTCAATATGTCAATATGAAAGTGATATATATATGTTATTCAGTTGTACTGGTGCATTGAATACCGGTATCTACATACATCTAGTCTACATCTAGCTTTTGACTTATATCTTTTTTGAGAATTTGATAGGGTTCTGTTTAATAGTATGATTACCAGAACTCTCTCTTCTCATTCCTGTTGTTTACAGCGCTATGGATATGGTGGGTGGATTCAGCTTCACCATCAGTGTGATGGTAGAGCCAAGATGATGAGAGATGGAAAGCTGTTTAGAGTGATTGAACCAAACTGTTTCAGTGCAGAGGCTAGAATAAGAGACATGGATGCTACAGGTAAGCGTATACATTGTAAATAATAATGTGATGTTTATCATACCATTTAATCAAGAGAGCTTGTTTTTGGCCCATTGCAGAAGAAATTAGTATCCTCGCCAATAGACTAGTTTACTAACATTCAAACTTATGGATGTTTCTTTCCTTGGGACCTTGTGATGAGGTATTCCATTAACCTGTTATTAATGAATGAACTACAATACTTGGCATCCAGGGTGCGTACATGTCACGGCGCTTTATCGGCCAAGCTTTTGGGTTGTCAAAAACCACTTTTAACAACCTTATAAACAGTGTGCATAAAAGTTGAATATGTTAGTTAACTGGTCTATTCTCCATTTAACTCCATTTTTACTCCATTATACATGATTGTATTGCAAATAAAGGAAAAACCTGATATAGTTATAACACCTGTATAGAAACCCAACCTAATATACTGATGGATACCGGTAGCATTTTCTTTTTCCTTGAAAAAGTGGTCTTCTTTGAAACATGTATTAAAGTTAACTTTTCATAGAACATACAACCATACAAAGACAACATTTGTTGTCTCTCTTTAGCTGTCTCCATATTTATTTTTCACTTTATTCCCCTACCGCAGGTGTAACCCTACAGGCTCTATTAATAGTTCCTGTCATGTTCAGCTATTGGACCTAGCCTGAAACATTTTTTCCTTCTCCGTGCACATAACAACCATCTCCTTATAAAGACCAATTTTCTTGTAGTCCTTGAGTGGTGACCTTTATAGAGTATTCACTGTACTCTCCCTACCACAGGTGTGACGGTACAGGCTCTGTCAACAGTTCCTGTCATGTTCAGCTATTGGGCCAAGCCAGAGGACACTCTAGATCTCTGCAGGATACTCAATGACGACCTGGCTAACACAATCAAGAAGCACCCTAAGAGGTTTGTAGGTCTAGGTACCCTACCCATGCAGGCACCAGACCTGGCTGTGCAGGAGCTCAAGAGATGTAAAGAGGTAGGTGTAATGATAGGAAGATGCTGTTTCAGGCCTGATAATTACCTGATTTTCTTCCCCAGATCCCCCACCCCTTGATTTTACCACTATTTTCCAGATTTTCCCCTTATTTTCCCTTATTATCCCTATTTTTCCCCAATTTTCTTATTCAAAAAGGGGGGGGGGGGGATTTTGTTAGATGCCAAATCCTTTTCTTTTTCACTCAAGGGGGGGGGGGGTGGTTGAGGGAAATGCTCACTATTACCCTTGCTGTTTAGATGGTTGTACGACACATCCTTCTCCACTAATTTCAACCTATACTATAGACTATACCAACCTATTTCTAACATCAAACCTAACGTAAACCGAATTTCAAACTAACCCTGTAAGTTGGGGCTCTGATCGGATCGGAAGATCGACCAAAAAAAAAAATTTTTTAATGACAAAATTTTCAAGTTTTTGGCTATCAAATGCTCAAAAAAATTCATGGCTGGGATTATTTTGTCATTTGGAGTTGTTGTAGACCATGTTTGTTGATATTTAGTGCCTTTTCATGACTTTGAAATTAATAATATTGGTCTAAGAGCAGAGGCAAAACATGTGGGCCGCCATCTTGGATTACAATGTAGGTAATGTTTTTTCTGATCATTTTAATTGATCGGCGATTGGAAATTATTATCCGATCACCCCTGATCGGATCGGTATCGGCGTCCGATCCGATGATCGTTTACAGGGTTATTTCAAGCCTAACCCTAACCCTTTATCTTTGACTGAATAATGCCTGAAGCAATTGTAACGAGAGCATACTTCAGTCCACTGTTTTGATCCGTTCGTTTCAAAGACTGGTCAAAGTTTCAAATATACATTGAGGTACATATTTATTCAAGATTCTAGTATGTTTCAATTTAATATTTTTATTATTGATACTACCCATTTGCATGTAGTAAAAACATGTATTTGAAAAATAATGATGAGGATTCACACAGTATTTAACAAAGCACTCTATTTAAAATGGTTTTAAAGTGCTGTCCCAGTAAATATGCAAATTGAATGGAATGATAAATCTTTTCAAAGCTGAAATGTAAGTTAAAAACTATTGTTTTGTTATTATAGAACATGTTGAGTGTATGGAAGGCTAAAGTTCAACTACAAAATGTACATGATCTTTTTGTTAAATTGATTGCATGTTTGTCCAGGAGCTTGGGTTTCCAGGTATCCAGATTGGTTCTCATATCAACCAGTGGAATCTAGATGCTCCTGAACTACAACCAGTATTTGCAGTGAGTATATTCTAGCAAGTTCCGTGTATGTTGTCACTGGTCTTTCTTAGGGCTGTTGTCAACAACTTTTCTTGGACATGATATGCCAAGAAAAGAAGTGCTTTAGCTTCCCTTGATTTCCCTTTGTCAACATATCAAGTTTATACAATAGGCCTTGTGGTTAAAAAAGATTCACAATCTTGAATTGCGGAAAGTAAAATATATAATATCACACCATCATCTCATAAAAATAACGTAGTAATTATTATTTTTAACTCTGCAGATACGTTATCAAACTTCATTTTAGTTAGGAGGATATAGCACTAGTGCACTACTGGTATTTTTATGCCTCCGCCACCGAAGGTGGTGCCGGAGGCATCATGTTTTCGGGTTGTCCGTCCGTACGTCCGTACGTCCGTCCGTCCGTCCCGTTTGACCGTTATCACAATATCTCAAGAACCATTTAAGATTTAAACTTAAGACTCGGGAATAGTATTTATCACCATAGGAAGACGATCTGATTAGATTTTGGAGTACGTAGGTCAAAGGTCACAGGTCACAGAGGTCAACTTATGAAATTCCTTGTATTGAGTTTGTTAGCGCGATATCTCAAGAACCATTTGAGATTTAAACTTCAAACTTAAGGATAGTATGTATCACCATAGGAAGACGATCTGATTAGATTTTGGAGCACGTATGTCAAAGGTCAAGGGTCACAGAGGTCAACTTATGAAATTCCATACATTGAGATTGTTATCATGATATCTCAAGAACCACTGGAGATTTAAACTTCAAACTTAGTGATAGTTTGTATCACTATAGGAAAACAATCTGATTACATTTTGGGTCACGAGGTCAAAGGTCAAAGGTCACAGGGCTCATTATGTATGCAAAAACAGCTTGTGATCGCGTTATCTGAACAACCGATTGATGGATTCCTGCCAAACTTTGGTCATGTAAGTATCTTGCAGAGCTGATGAACTGATTAGATTTTGGGGTCACGAGGTCAAAGGTCAAAGGTCACAGGGCTCATTATGTATGCAAAAACAGCTTGTGATCGCGTTATCTGAAGAACCGATTGATGGATTCCTGCCAAACTTTGGTCATGTATGTATCTTGCAAAGCCAATGAACTGATTAGATTTTGGGGTCACGAGGTCAAAGGTCACAGCGCACATTGTGTATGCAAAAACAGCTTGTGATCGCCTTATCTCAAGAACCGATTGATGGATTCCTGCCAAACTTAGGTCATGTATGTTACTTGCAGAGCTGATGAACTGATTAGATTTTGGGGTCATGAGGTAAAGGTCAAGGTCATGCGGCTCATTATGTATGCAAAAATAGCTTGTGATCGTATTATCATTAGAACAGATTGATGGATTCCTGCCAAACTTAGATCATTTATGTATCTTGCAGAGCCAATGAATGGTTCATAAGATCAAAGGTCATGGGCTCATTATGTATGCAAAAATAGCTTGTGGACGCATTCTCATTAGAACTGACAGATGGATTACTATTTAACTCAGGAAATCTTGCAGAGCCAATGAACTGAGTAGATTTTAGGGTCATGAGGTCAAAGATCAAAGGGTCATATATGTATATGAGAAATTGCTTGTAATCACGATATTGTGAGAACATGTTAATGGATTACAATTGAACTTGAATTTGAAAAATTTCTTCCGTTTCGGTTTGTAAAATTGCTCTATGACGGAGGCATCATTTTCGACTGCGCGCAGTCGAATTCCATCTAGTTTTTCCCTGTACCATAACATTCATGTTAAGCCAAGATAAATTATTTTTGTGAATCACTTTCTGTTATTATTACGCATTCAATTCAATGTAGTGGATGGATAGAGGATATCATTGATGATGACGATCAAAGTGTTAACTGATGGAATCATTACTTTGAAAATAATATCTTTGGACTTGACTCCCTCATATTTTATACAAGATTTGGTTGAATGTTACCCAAAATATCAAGATTTTTATTTTGGTGTGAGTTATTGCATATCAATAAGAAGTTCTAAACACTTATTCAAAGTAACTGATATCTGTTGCTCTTGATGCAGGCTGCTGAGGAGGTGGGTATATCTCTCTTTGTTCACCCCTGGGACATGGAGCTAGGGGGTCGCATGGCTAAGTACTGGTTACCCTGGCTGGTAGGGATGCCAGGAGAGACCGCTACCGCCGTCTGCTCTATGATCTTTGGTGGGGTGCTGGAGAGGTTTCCCAAACTCAAAGTCTGCTTCGCTCATGGGGGTAAGTACATTGGCATATGGGTAATTCCATAAAGTTTGGGCAAAAAATATGACGGTGTCCATGTAATGTAGGTATGAGATCTTTTACTACACATGGAAGATGAAATTATCTGTTGGAAGATTTTCATGCAATGAATATGTAGTAGTGTCCTGCCAGAATCATTCCTGTTTCAGTTGATTTACTTCAAAATCTTTGCTTAATAAACATTTTTTCTTTTTACCAGCATTGACACCATATTCATATAACATTTCATAAACTTTGGGTCCATGATATTGATTCACAATGAAGTTTGAGTACTTCTGAAGATATTTGGCTATGCTTTTTATTGCAAAACTCAATTTGAGCAAACATTGCTACAGTTGATAGAGACATAGTTTCTCACTTCTGGTATGTCACAAAAAGTGCCCCAACTTTCTGGACGGACCCATATATAGCAGGGGATTTCAAATTTTTCATTGACGGTCCAGGGGTCCCGAGGCATGTAATGCCATTTGTGTGAAAATTCTTACAGGCCCTTTGTATACATCAAATGAAGTACAATAAGGTACTGTTAATTGCTGGAATGCCGGGCGCAACTCAAACATTTGATTTTGTTCCAGGCATGGACAATCCACTCCTAAAATTTACAACAATAGCACTTGTAATATTGAAGAAAATTGTTTTTTTTTAGGGCTATATCAGATCTAAGGGCAATTGTTACAATTTAAAAATAAAAAGGAAGCAAAGCCTCCCGGGTGGTCCGGATTGACATGCATTGCAGTCCAGATGCAGACCGCGTTCTGGACTTTGAGAAGACCTGGCATATAGCTTAGGGTGTCTTAGCAATGGTCAGTCAAGCTAGTTATAGTGGTCACCTGTCCATACTGGTCACCTAGGTAGTCTTCCTTGAAGGAGAGATATATGTGAAAGAACCTCACAAGAAAGGTCATGTGTTATGAAGGAGAATTGGTGTACAAATTAAAAGTGGCCACTTTTTAATGGTTTTATACCATGCGTGGGATGAACAAACATTGCTGCACTCCTTATGTCAATCTTAAATTGTTCCAGGCAGAGTCAGGATAGTCAGAATGGAGCAGGGGAATTTTCGTAAAAAATCGATGATCGGGGGTTGAACAATTATAATATGTAAATAGTTCTGGTATTACATGTTGCTGAGATCACTCCATGTCTCACAATTTCAAGTAAAACCAAAATTTGTTTAGGAAGGTCTTCCAAAATGCTAGTCAAACTCAAAACTCAAAATGCTAGTTCATTAATGTTTCAATACCCGTCCTTTCCATATCTGACCCATCACAAATCTCCCCCCCCCCCCTCCCTATAGGTGGTGCCTTTCCCTTCACCATCGGTCGTATCGAGCACGGCTTCAACGTCAGGCCCGATCTCTGTGCTGCAGAGAACAATGTCAATCCAAGGAAATACATCGGGCAGATCTACACTGACTCTCTTGTGCATGATGAAAAGGCACTCAAGTACTTGGTGGAAACGATGGGAGAGGTAGGTCATTGCCTCAATTTTAGGATCAATGATTAAAAGTAAATTTGTAATCCATTCTACTTGGGCTAATCAAGCATGTTCCTTTCAGCTGTCAACAATAAAGTTGTTTCAGTTTGTGCACTATGGAAAGTTAGACAGCAGACATTTTCAAACTCACCGCTAAAAAATTAAACTGGTTAACTGAAATCTGTGAATGGAACCTTTTGTATTCCAGACATACGTTCTCTTTGTTGAGATTCATTGGCTATGTCCCAAACATCTTGACTGAGGACATGAAGCCAAAGAGTAATCAAGAGTGTACAAGACAACCCCGTCTGTTTTATACAGATATTGACTGGTGGGGTGTGTAATATAACAATTTTTGGACTGCTGAAGGGGGTTACATTTTCCCCAGGGGTTATTTGATCATGAGGGAAAATATGACTTCCCTGCATTCCAGAAAATATGTTTTTACCAACTTAATATCAGATAGCTGAGGGAAAATATGACTTCCCTGCATTCCAGAAAATATGTTTTTACCAACTTAATATCAGATAGCTGATAATTACCTGGTATAAAAAAAAAACCCAGAAAGAACGAGATTCAAAATTTGGAAAAGTTTAAGCAATATTTGATTAAAAGTAGGAAAGGTATGAATTTTTGAAGTCGTCTTTAGTGAAACACTATGACCTATGCCAGATCAATAATAGACAAAACATAAAATCCCAATACCCTGGTGGCCAAGATTGTGTTGATATTCGGTCAGTTTGGGGTTAGTGTAGCAGTGCAGCTGGGACATGAGCTTGAGGTTTTGTAGATCTTATGGTATTCCTGTGTTTTCCTCTTCTTTCAGAACCGTGTTTTACTGGGCAGTGACTACCCCTTCCCACTCGGTGAACACCATCCTGGTAAACTCATCGACTCAGTAGACAGCTTCAGTGAGGAATTGAAGGTGAGCATTTGTAACCAGTGTTCCCACTTCCTTCTTATCACAGAAATCAGAGAAAAGAAGAAATGTAGAAAATCAAAAAAGAAAGTAGCTGATATCTTATGTGGTGTCTCTTGTCCAAACAGTGAGTCCACAGGTTGATTGGTATATGTATGTATGCCATCGTGCCTGCAACCACTGTTCATTTAAGCAAAAAAGAGAATGAGATCGTAGACTTTCAAAAAATTCAGGGGAAATCAGGGAATTTTGTTTTCATGAAAATGCCGGGAGCCCTGTGCAAAAAAAGATATTTGAATAAAGTTCATTTTTGTAAGTACCTTGTGCTAGGATAAAGCATTTCCTTTTCTCACACTTTGTTTTTTTGTTATAATCTGTTTGCTTAGATCTCAGTGACTCCATCTTCACTTAAAGACATTTTAGAAATGCTATAGGAGATAGGTTACAATTAAGTGGTCTGTATGTAGTAATGGGAGATGTTTATGATGTATATGTTTGTAAATTAAGTAATAATACTTTTGGTTTCAAAATGGCTTATTTTATTAGTATTTGCATTATGAATATTTTGGGTCAGTGGAAACCGTATGCAAAATGTCAGAAAAACAGAAACAAAATCAAATTTTTTAAAGAACCTGGAGAATATTTTATTCATGTTAGAGTTTTATGTTGATAAGAGACTTAATCCTGAAGAATTTTCCCTTAAAAAAAAATATGTAGCTGAGATATTATTAGATTACTCATGTGATAGAAATGTATACAGTTATTTAGGTAAGCCCTACAGTTTACCATGGACCCTTGTCTTTCTCCCCACCTTCTACAGGATTCTCTTATGGCAGGCAATGCCCTGGAATTCCTTGGTCTGAACCGGTCCCAGTACGAGCCAGACCCTTCACTCTCACCTTCACAATCCAAGTGCGGCCTTCAAAAACACAAAGTCAAAAGCTCTTCCAATGATGATACAGGGGTAGAAAATGGCACAAAAAGGATCAAACTAGCTGACGAGAAGGAGGTCCACTAAAGTCCACAAGTTTATTTGTAAATTCAATGTATAAGTATTAGCTACACCCCTCACAAATGCCTTCCTGATTCAAGTGAGGATCACAGGAAGTCGAAGCTCTTCTGCGAGGCGGAGATGGAGTAAAGAGATTGGCACAAACAGGATGGAACCAGCCTAAGAAGAGGTTCACTAAAGTGCAGTCCCAATGGTTTAGTTTCATGTTTGTATGAGTTAGAACCCGAACAAATGCCTTCCCAATCCAGGTGTAGACTATAGAAAGACGTTTACAGAGGACCTGCGTAGAAATGCACTAAAGTGTCGTCCCACTGGTTTATTTCTGTTTGTCTCGGACTGTCGATCTCAAGGTCCGCGGTTTGAGACCCACCGCGGCACTAATGTCCTTTGGCAAGACTTTGATCTACATTTGCCACACTCAACCCAGTTGATGTAAATGGGTACCTGGCAGGACTTAATTCTTTGAAATGCTAGAGCACCGCAATGGCAGCACAGCTAAAGCCGGGGTAATAAACTCCAAGTTTGGGAGTTTGTGATTCTAATAAGCGCTATATAACAACTGAGTATTATTATTATTATTATTATTACATCGGGTAGTCCTTAGATCTGTTTTTATATAAAGAGTTTGTTGGCAAAGAAAATACCACCTGAATTTGGAATTGAGGGTTAAAAAGTCCTCTGTTGACCCCAGTTTTAACTTCTCCCTGAAACTATTCTGAACAGAATAACTCTGAAATATTAAGGCCTGTGAGTAAATTGTAAAATATTTTCTTGCATGCTATCCTTTATGAAATAGCTGTGATTTTTAATTATTTCTTTATGAGGAAAGGAATATTCAATGTTAAGATAATCAGGGAAGTTTTTATTTCCTATGGAAATTTATTTTGTCATATTTTGAACTTTCATAGCGAATAAAAACAAATAATGCTATGTTTTTAATCATCAAATGTGTACATTTTTGTTGAGATTCATAGCCTTGCATACCCATATCTTTTAGCCGAATATTTATAAGAAGCATACATTTACATTTATATGCAAAATACTATTCAATACAGCAACATTTATCATATACATTTAAATTTGACATGCCCAGGCATTTAGGTACCGGTATGTAAATAGAATGACCATCATACATGGACAAAGGTAACAGCCATTGTCAGTTTTGTATTTGGCAGTATTTCCATGAGTGCTTCATGCCTTAAGTAGAATTATATATTTTTTAATTGATGTGTGTATATAGTGAGCTTTTTGAACCGTCATGGAATACTTATTTCCTGTGTTCAAAATCTACATGACTATAGTGTATTTAAAACTTAAGTGTCCCTATCTTTTTTCTTTAACCTGAAATATGACCTTTACAGATTCTAAATCTTGCTTTATTTACTACAAATTCATGGATTTACACCACTTTGATTAAATGTTGGTGTATGATGAGGTAGTAACTCTTAAAGTACATTGTACAAATACAAATACAGATGTATAATGTATCGAGCTCAGTGAGCTATTTAGATAAATTTTGTATTTATAAAATATCTTGTAAATACATGTAGGTATTGGTATTGAGGGTGTTTATGTGCAGGGCAGCTCTTTTGCTTATGGAATATGATGTTTGAATTCAATCAATCGAAACCATGCTTAGAAATTGAAATACCTGTGATAAATATGTTTATTTTTGTTATAAAAAATCTCTGCCTAAATCATTACCAGTATGTAGTGCTCAATGAGATCATTCTGCCTTTATAATAAGAGGTACATTATTGATTTTTTTTAAAAGTGTGATCAAAGTGTTGTTTAAAAAAAATCTAAACAAACTGAATTAAATGACCTGATATGATTTGTAATGTTTCTTTATTCATTTATTTTTTACCACTTCAGCATTTTTTAATGTAAATGTTGAAACGCATACTTGTTATTTCAACCCTTATAGAAGTTACTGAATGGCAAGGTATTTCACTGACATTGCTTCCACTGCTGCAATTATTTTCATTTGCGTCATCTTTTGGGGAAGGCGTACATAGAGCGATTTCTGGTTCCTGTACCCAAGCATTAACACAGGTGCGTCATGCAGTTTGTGATGCATTGTGGGACATGGCTGTCAACACATTAGGGCATTGGGAGCAGCAGATGGCAGTATATATCTCCAGGATCGTTCCATAATTATTCCTACATTTCTTTAATTAGTTTTTTTTTTTGGGGGGGGGGGGGGGGGGAGGAGACGGGTAAATGTTTCTGTTTATTTTTACTCCTGGTTTTAATTTCAAGCTGATATGAACCTACTGCATATTTGCAAGATTTGATACACTAATACTAGTTTTTCTTCAAATCAATTTGAAGCATACTAATCTGCAGTAAGGTAATCTGATTATGATTTTATTCATATTTATTCATGTAATGGTTGTTTACGTATTACATGTAATTGTGAAAATGATTGAATTTCCCCTTTTGCCTTTTTCTCTACATTATGTATAGTGTATTCAAGTCCTTGCCAGTTTGTTTTTAGTTCTTATGAAATTCCCTCTGCTGCCCAATCACCTATCTTTTGTTAATATGTACTTGTAAATATTATAGTTATTGGTATAAAGGTAAATAAAATAAGTAATTTTTTGCACAAGTCAAACTGGAGCCAGCCTCAGTTGTAATTTTGTTTTTGTGTCTAAGTATTGTGTTGAATGCTGAACAAAACGTGAAAAAACACCTCAAAAATGTTGTGCATTTCAAGTTGTATATTGATATCTCTCTTGTTAGTATATTAGTAGTGAATCATACTTGACGTTGGAGTAATTCGAAAAAACGGCACGTTTGTTCCCCTTTATAACAATGATGCCACATTGAGTATGTAATCGGGGAATGTGTAGTACACCTGAATATGGGGCCAAGTCAAAAATTTGTTGTCAATGGGGAATTCTTGATGTGTTTGGAAGATCATTGTCTTTTGAAGGAATTTCAATGCATTTTGCAACATTTCACTTTTGACTTGGCCCCATTTTCAAGTTTCATGCCAAATCCATAATTTCATTAAAAAGTGCATGAGTCTGACAGCCCATAAGTCGAAATTGAACCCTAAACAATTTGTCAGGAGGTGTGAGAATTTTTTTGTTTGGTCTTTCTTTCATTCTTCATTTTGTTTTCTTTCTTCTTTTTCTTCTTTTTCTTTCTTTCTTAATGTTTCCTTCTTTTCTGTTTTCTTTTCTTCTGAATCATGTTAAATATTTCCAATTTACCCCTAAGGCCTAAAAAAAAAGGTGTACTGCCCTTTAGGTGCCAAAACATGGGTCGGTCGGAAATCTTTCAAAAAAAAATGTTAACTCCCTCTTTTGGCTGATATTTCTCAGTTTTGAATGCTTTAATACATTTTTTCTCTCCAAAAAATGGTAATTTTTTTTTAAAAGCCGACTGGAGATTTCAACATTTTTGGGTCGGTCGCAAAAGGGCAATACAACATCTTTTTTTTTGATAGGCCTAATAGTTATACAGGTAATCATGGACCCTACTTTGTGGTAGGTCCATGATGTAATCAAAATAAAAAAGAGAACCCCCCCCCCCCCCCCACCCCATCTTAAAAATGTCCTCAATTAATTCTGTATTTCAATTTTTTCAATACAGATCTAGAGAGCAATTTACAAAGCTTTATCTATTTTATGACAATTTATCATAGATATCTTTAACTAGTACTATCTTTAATGAAAATAATAGGATCTTCTAGATCTATGCAATTTATTGAAAACGCCCTCTCATGATCACACCTGTACAGGAGCTTTGCTAAAAATTGTAGCCATATCATCGTATAGACGTCCAAATTTGCTTTGAAATACCTACCTAGTACCTTGAACGATGCATGGTCTCGGAATGCAACCAGTAAGTTTATGATTTGAGATCTATTTTCATGATTGTATGCTGTATGTGAGATACGGAAGTAACTTTTTTTATAAGGATATAAAGCCATGAATGATCATCGACAGGAACGTTCGCCTCGGTATATTTAGGTCCCACATACTGAATATTGTGTACAGTAACCCGCATTTAATACGACCGCTAAAAAATTCGCATTTGACTCTTTTGAGTCTATGATTTTGAATTTGAGTCGACTAAATTTAGTGGATCCCGACTCCGCCTGTCAATTTATTATCTCAGCTTTGGAATTTACATTACCCAAAATGCTTACGAGCGTTTGTTATGTTTTTTTTCTTCAAATAAACGAGGCGAGCCGCGAGGTGTCGTACAAAAGTCACTAACAGTTAGAATGTAGAGTAAAGGAGCCGGTAATCGGCTAGACCGAAAGCTTCAGTCTCTCTAATCATCGGTTGTTCCACTGAGACTACGTCTGGCTCCACTAGACCTCCGATTATAGAGACTGAAGTCTGGGGACCTCTTTCTGTGAGGCACTGTACGGAACAAATGGTTCGGTTTGACCGGACCGCGATGAATGAGATATGCAACGAGATTTTCACTCTTTACATCCTCATAACTGCTGCAATTATAACGCAAATTAAAAATAACATATATATAGCTTATTTGACTTACGATAGCTTGCTCATTTAGATCCTAAATTAATGATTAATCCGAGAAAGTCTTGTAGAGTAAAGTACCCGGTAATCGGTCAGCTCCGGTTTTCGGCCAATTGGTTGGATACATGGTAAAATCACTTTAAAATACATCGCATAATAGCATAACACATATCCCACACATACCATACCATGCCAGTGTCACTGAAGAACCACATTTGCAATGAAAAATATATCCTAAAATATCACATTTTAGCGATGTAATCGGCGGTCCCGCTACCCAAATCTGAAAAATCGAGTTTCTTACGCGTGTATGTAAGAAATATGGGTACCATAAAATGAGCTTTATTTCAAGTATTTTTCAGATATAGAGCCCGATTTTGTGCTGGTCGCAAGCTCAAAAGTATCTCATCGCATGTATTAAATCAATGCAGCCGCACACCGCGACGCACACACGATATGTCCGTCTAATTCAGATTCCAACTTCCGATCACCGCTGTGCCTGTATTCGGTCAGGCGAGCACCCGGGAGCTCCGGCGTGGGATACCTGCTCCGCCCGCGTGTGCTATACATCAGCGCAGAAACGCACGGCGCGCGCGAGCGCTTCCGATTGACTTTGTACATGCGGCCGTAAACTGAAACGCTCGGCCGATAACCGGCTCCAAAACAGTGAAAATTGAAATGAATATTGTCATGGCAATTCGTGATTTTTTTTGGGGATTCTTTTTTTGTTTAAATAATAATAATATTTGCTTCATGATTTGAACAAGAAATGATAATAAATAGGAAGTAAAGAGTCCAATAAATAGGATTTTGTCTTAAGTGGCCGAAAACCGGGTACTTTACTCTAGTCAACATTATCCGTCTTGGTGTTAGTTGATGAATATTCATTTTTTCTTTTCGAACGTCCAATAGCTACTGTAGCTACGTACGAGT